TCTTTTGATTACTAGTATATAGTAAACATGCATTTTTAAAATGAAAAATCTTCTTCTCTGCCCCTGGGTATTAAACAACTAACTACATGCGTAGTTACAATGAGGAAGAGTACCTCTTTGAAAATTGTGAATTTCATGGCCAAAGGATCATGTTGTGAATTTCATGGCGCAAGGACCAGGATTTCTGGTGTTACTTAGGGTGGGGCTCTAATCATCAAATTGTGAAATTGCAATAAATCTTTGATAATTAATCTTCTTCTTCGCTCCCAGGTATTTAACAAACTGACTACAGACATATAATTATGATATAGCTATGATCGTTCTTCCAGAATTGTGAATACCAAGCCCCCCCGGAACAGGGGTATCATAGAGGGCTGGGGTGGGGGGGGGGTGTCTTTGACTATATACTAAAAATGAATTATTTCTTTGAAATCCACTCCATGATGTTAATCAAACATTTATGATGAGCAAGAATTGTGAAATGTGTGGACCTGAGGGTCAGGGGTTCTTGTGGGGTGGGGACACTACAGAGTAATGCTGAATATTACTTAGAGTGGTTGAAATGCATCTTTTTTATTCCCCTACTCTGTCTTTGGTTATAAAGTTACCAAACTACATAGGCGTCGGAACCGGAAGGGCTAGGGGCTTAGCCTGTTCCTAGTATAGACATTGAACATTGCTACGTAGGTTTAGCCCCCCACTTTCCACAGACACGTTGCAGGATAGGTTTAAAATTAGGAATTCATGATCAAAGTGGTGCTGTTTGGAAAAAATTTGGTACTGAATATCGAACCTAACCCCCCACCCCACCCCCCACCCCCCATGTCATGGCCTTTGGTTTAAAACATAACCCAAAGTCAATTGCAAAACACATTATTTTTTATTTCAATGATTAATTCATGATTATTCATGATTTATTCTGTAATATTTTTCATGATTTAGTCTTAAATCCTAGCTACTTTCATTGCATTAAAGTACTGCTTGAAAAATGTCAGAGATGAAAACTTTAAAATATCGGAAATGAAAACAGTTCCGGAAATAAAATGCAGCCATTGAAACCATGCACCGTGAATGTCTTGAATCTAATCCACAATATCGTACAAGTTACATTAAAACATTATCTATGGAAAACATCCTTAATTTGGTATCATATGATTTTTGCCCGTTATTTTGCCCCGTTTAAATTCGCCCAGTCACAGTTCTGTTTAAGAATTTATACTGTGTTTTTTTTTTAACTTGCCCCATTTTAAATTCACTCACATGTAGTTGTTGCCATGACAACAATTGATGGAACATTTCATATATTTTTTCATCACTCTCCACAAATACAATCATCAACACATTAATTTGATATTCATTTCCATGACGAACACTGATCCAAAAGTCAAATCTCTTTACAGGAGGCAAAGGGTACATTGGTTGCCATGCACTGGGAATCGTTGCCATGTGTTGATTAAAGACGAAAAAAAAAAAATAAGATTGACCAACAGTTCATTGTCAGTTTTGCTCAATCACATTTTCCTGACTTAATTTGAATAAGCCTTAATAAGATTACATGAATACACGCCAAAATTACCTTTCTTTTCCTTGTTGCTAGGGAGAACCTGTCGTTGCTATGGAGATAAAGAATTATGCAATATTCAATAATGTGCTAGGGAGACCGAATTTAATCATACTATTTTAAAATTTGTATCTCGTTTATCATAAATAACCGTTCATTTGATTTTTCCGTAAACTTTTTACATGGTTTCTCATTTTATGCATCAAAAAGCCCATTTTTGTTGCTAGGCAACAGATTCGATATTCAAAAGAGCCCATGGATTTGACTTCAAATTCTGAAAGAGAAATACCTCTGCTTTTATGTGAGATACATGCAACAACTGTATTAATCTGGCCATTTTTAAAATTTGGCCTTGAATATTGCCAAAATCACGAAAAATGCTGAATCAGCAAAACTTGTAAAACATATGTACCTTCCAATGTCTACCACAGAACTGACATAAGACCTAAATATTTTTTATTACATTATTAGAACACAATAAATGTGTATCTTTATTACACCCATAAGTAAGAATAATTCTCGTGGTATTTACATGTTATTTTAAGCCTCAAAGATAGGTTATTTTTTGTCCTTCAACACTGAAAAATCCGCCGGTTGCTAAGGAAATTTCTTTGGCCGGGTTTCCAGGTTACCATGACTCAAAACATTTTTCATTTTACATACATTGTTCATACTTCAAAATAAATCTATGAGTGAAAAATCATCAAATTCTGAAAACCTTCATGTATCACTTTTTTACAGTTTTGTCTGATTTTTATGTGGACTGGTACTTAATTGCTAAAATATTCATTACTCTTGTTAGTGCTCATCTTCAAAAAGTTGAAACTCTTTGTCTGCTAAAATAAATTACACCAAAATTATTGGCCTACCTTTGAGAAGGCAAAATGCCAGTTTTTATACCTGCCAAGAGAACCCGCTATACAGTCAATTTACTTTTTAGGTCACCTGAGTAAACTCAGGTGACCTATTGCTATCTGTTTTTGTCCGTCGTCGTTCGTCGTGCGTTAACATTTGAACATTTTTAGCTTCTTCTCTGAAACCACTCAACCAATTTCAACCAAATTTGGCATATAGCATCTATGGGTGAAGGGGAACAAAAATTGTGAATTTCATGGTCCCTGCCCCCCTGGGGCCTGAGGGGGTGGGGCAAAAACCTCTAAAATTAATGAAATCTTTAAAAATCTTCTTCTTTACTCCTGGACATCAAGCAGTCAAACTGTTTGCATGATTGTAATAAGCATTAAGTCCTCTACCAAAATTATGAAATTCATGGCCCCAGGGTCTGGGATTCTAGTGCTAGGGCGGGGCTATATAGATTATATAGTGAAAATGCATTATTTCTTTAAAAATCTTCTTCTCTGCTCCTAGGTATTAAATAAACTAACTAAGTACATAGTTATGATGAGCAAGAATGCCTCTTCCAAAATTGTGAATTTCTTGGCCCCAGGGTCAGGGGTTTTGGTGTTAGGGCGGGGTTCTATTGGTTATATAGTGAAAATGCATTGAATCTCTGAAAATCTTCTCTGCTCTTGGGTATTAATCAAATTAACCAGGCAAGTACATAGTTATGATGAGCAAGAGTGCCTCTTTCAAAATTGTGAATTTCATGGCCCCAGGGTCAGGGGTTTTGGTGTTAGGGCGGGGCTCTATTGGTTATATAGTGAAAATGCATTGAATCTCTGAAAATCTTCTTCTCTGCTCTGGGGTATTAAATAAAGTAACTAAGTACATAGTTATGATGAGCAAGAGTGCCTCTTTCAAATTTGTGAATTTCATGGCCCCAGGGTCAGGAGTTCTGGTGTTAGGGCAGGGCTCTATTGATTATATAGTGAAAATGCATTAAATCTCTGAAAATCTTCTTCTCTGCTCTGGGGTATTAAAATAAGTAACTAAGTACATAGTTATGATGAGCAAGAGTGCCTCTTTAAAATTTGTGAATTTCATGGCCCCAGGGTCAGGGGTTTTGGTGTTAGGGCGGGGCTCTATTGGTTACATAGTGAAAATGCATTGAATCTCTGAAAATCTTCTTCTCTGCTCTGGGGTATTAAATAAAATAACTAAGTACATAGTTATGATGAGCAGGCCCCAGGGTCAGGGGTTCTAGTGCTAGGGCGGGGCTAAATACAGCAAAACTCGGTTATAGCGAAGTCCTGGGGACCAGTGAATTTACTTCGCTATATCCGTAATTCGTTATATCAGTATAACGAATTCGTATAACCATTATAGCGAATTCGCAATATGCGTGTTTTCCTTCAGGTATTACTACCAAATATGTTAAGGAAGCAAATTTAACAAAACATATCTTCGATAACTAAGGTTTTATTATGAATTGAATTTTATATACAAATGCTAAAAGTAAATTAAATCATTTCAATTTTTCAAATTTTTTATAACATTGGAAAGTTCATTATTAAAGATGTAAATTTCATTATACTTAACCTCAACGGGACTCAAAATCAGTTCGCAATATCCGTAAATTCGTTATATCAGAGTTCGTTATAACCGTAAAATTTTACAGAGATTTGTTAAGAATTTTGCCGGGGACCCTGAAAAACTTCGCTATATCCGTGAATTCGCTATATCCGTGTTCGTACTAAACGAGTTTTACTGTAGATGTGAAAATGCATTATTTTTTCAAAAATTTTCTCCTCTGATTCTGGGTATTAAATAAACTAACTAAGTACATAGTTATAATGAGCAAGAGTGCTTCTTCCAATTATGTGAATTTCATGGTCCCTATGTTAGGGTTTTTGCTGTTTGGTGTAAGGGGACGGGGGGACGGGGTGCTCTTTTGATTGTATAGTGAAAAAAATACATTAATTCTTTGAAAATCTTTTCTTGCTCCTGGATATTATGTCAATGATCTAAGTATATATATATATTTATGATGAGGAAGGGTGCATCTAGCAAAATGTTTAATTTCATGCCCCCTGGGTCAGGGGTATCATGGGGGGTGGGGGGGGGTGGGTACATAGTCTGAAAATAAATTAATGCATTGAAATCTGCTCATTAGTATTAATCAACCATATTTGATGAAATAACATTTATGATAAAATTTTCAAAATTTTGAAATATGTGGCCCCAGGGTCAGTGGTTCCTGTGGGATGGAGTGGGGTGCACAACTGGTTTAGAATGAAAGTGCATTTCCTCTTAGTTACTCTGATCTACCTATGGGTTATTAGTGACTATCTAGTAAGCATTGCTAAGTGTATAATTATGATAAGCAGTGGTGCCTCTTTCAAAATTGTGAATTTCATGGCCTCTGGTTTCAAACACAAACCAAATTCAATTGTTGGAAAGTTGTTACACGATACTCAGGTGACCTGTAAGGCCTGTGGGCCTCTTGTTAATTATGCTAGGTTAAAAGTATATAATAAAAATACTGATGTCCATTTTCCATTTTTTGATATTTTTATGTTTTAAACATTTTTTTTTTCAGGAAGTGTATGAATTTGACCACATTGACAGCATCCTGCTGGGAGTTGTTATGTTAACTGTACAACAGTTAAGGGAACTATCCAATCAGGTGGGTGTAAGATGATCTTAACTGTACAACAGTTAAGGGAACTGTCCAATCAGGTAGGTGTAAGATGACCCTAACTGTACAACAGTTAAGGGAGTTGTCCAATCATGTGGGTGTAAGATGACCCTAACTGTACAACATTTAAGGGAGCTGTCCAATCAGGTAAGTGTAAGATGACCCAATGACCTAGTTTACAGATTGACCTGGAATATTTCCATATAAAGTCATCAAGAACAATGTTTAAAAGTTGCAATTAATATTTCATTTACATGAAAATATATTTCTGAATAATTATAAAACATAATTTTTGCACCCCAAACAGAATTTATGTTTTCGTTTTTTGCCTCAAAAGCATTTTTGTGCCAAAAACTATTTAGAAATAAGATAAACAGTTTTGAAGAACAATATATTTTCCTCATATTTGCCATAAACAAACATGATATTTTGATCTTAGTAAAGATAAACAACTAATAAATACAGCTAAAGTACAATGATCATTTAGAGAGGAATATAGCGCTGTCAAAATAATGTCAGATACATGTACCAGAAAATGCTGTATGGTCTCAAACAAATGGTCTTTGTTGACTCAGACCCACTGTTTCCAGTGGCCTTAAATAAACAGTTTGGTTCTGTTGAGTCTGACAAAATTCATGTTGCACTCAAACCAAGTCAATAGATGTATAATAAATATTGTATTAATGAACACAACTGACAGAATCTCAAATAATTAAATTGTGGCTTGAATGGTTAAAGTTCTTCTATATAATTTTTAATACAATTGTCTTTTTCAGGAGGAATCCAAATTACACCACCTTAATGGAACTAGCAATGGAAAGATTCGCTTTAAGTGTACTTTGACCTTCAATGATGAGGATAATGTAAGTGACCTTGATGTTTCAAGTGTACTTTGACCTTCAAAGATGGGGATAATATAAGTGACCTTGATGTTTTAAATGCACCTGGTTCTTTGACCTTCAATGATAAATAAGAATTTTGTATATTATAAGTGACCTTCATGTTTTAAGTATATTTTGACCTTCAGTGATAAAAATTTTGTAAGTGACCTTGATGTTTTAAGTGAACTTTGACCTTCATTGATGAGGATAATGTAAATTTCTTTGATGTTCTTAGTGTACTAATGTAAGTAACTTTGATGTTTTAAGTGTATTTGACATTTAATGTTGAGATAATGTGAGTGACCTTGATGTTTCTAGTGTACTATGACCTTCAGTAATGAAGATAATGTAACTGGCCTTTAGGTTTTAAGTGTTACTTAACCTTCAGTGATGAGGACAATGAAATTTGACCTTCAGTGATGAGGACAATGTAATTTGACCTTCAAGGATGAGGACAATGTAATTTGACCTTCAAGGATGAGGACAATGTAATTTGACCTTCAAGGATGAGGACAACGTAATTTGACCTTCAGTGATGAGGACAATGTAATTTGACCTTCAGTGATGAGGACAATGTAATTTGACCTTTAGTGATGAAGACAGTACAAATGGCCTTTATGTTTTAATTATGATTTTATTTTTTGATGAAGATATATAAAATAAGTCTTGAAGACGAATGGAAACAATTCAGTTTATGAAGTTATCAATATAATTGGTTAGATTGAAGGTCTTCCTAAAATTTTAAACGCCAGTTCTTCATCATTTTGCTAAACCATCTAACGAATGTGCTTTTATCAAATATATGAAAATAAAAGATCATCAATGTAGCATAGTTATTTTTCTTACAAGAATTAGTATTATCTTTTTTTTATTTCAGGAAAAAGCTTTGTCCAAAAAATTTACTAACAACCGAGGTGACATGTACATTCCAAAATGCTGCACCTGGATACCAACTGGTGTGTACTGTGAAATCATAAGTTTTCATGGGGGGTTAATTTTTATTGATTTCGAGGTATGAAGAGATCCACAAATTCATGTCCACCATGAAATGTAAAATGTTACATACATAACTACTCAACAATTCTTCATTTATGAATTCAAACCCCCACGAACCAAGAGTTTTTTACTCAAACCACAAAAATTTGACCCCACAAAAATATGTGATTTTATGATATATGAGTTACCTCTCAGCTGAGGTAGGACAGGGAATAAGAATTACCATAGTGTAACTTCAGCTAGTGACATAAATAAGGGTGTGTCTGTGGTCAAGAGGCTTTTCCAACTCTTCAAGGTCACAAATACATGGAAAGCATATTTACAGTATTTTTGCTCATGACATTATGGGATGGTATTATCAGGTCTTGGTGCCAAGAAGCAATAAGATACTGGGTCCTTCCTGTACCTTGATGATTTCAATTATATTGATGACAATGACCAAAGCGTATCTTGATATTTACTCATAAGACAATTTCTTTGTAGGTGTTGAGATAATTAGCTTAACTTTATAAGCTTTGAAGTGAATTGAAAACGTGATGTGCTAGAATTGGCACTCTAAATGTTTGATAAAAGATCATTTATAAACAACATGCAACCAAGTATATAACATGAAGCAGGGAGAGACTGGTTTTTGTATTATAAGAATCTCGATTGTGGATTGATTAAATGTAAACAGGCAAGAGTCATATTTTAACTTTTTCCTCCATTCTTTAAGCACATTAAGACTTATAAGGATCATATACGCTGACCCTTATTAGGACTTAATTATTCAACTTTAAATATCAATAAATAAATACATGTATATAAAATACTTTGATATTATTTCAAAACATTTTAAAGTAGGAAATGATTTAAAAGAGAAATTTTCAAAAAGATGTATTACCTAAGCAGTAACTAATCTTGATTGCATTTTTGATGCTTCAAGATTGCATTGAAATCTATGGAAAGAAGTGAATTTTTAAAAATAGAAAATTTAATACCAAGAACATCACAAAAATATGGTGGAAAGATGTATTTGATCATTAGGAATAGAAAATTGATTGAGAACTATTTTTTAACCATAAAGATTTTTTTTTTAGAATTGACTGTTATTGAATAAAATCAAAGAGAGATAACTTGTCAAGGTCAGGACAAGGTCATATATTAGGGCATATTTTGCTCTTACATACTAATACTGAAGCATGAAAATTATTTCTAAAAATTCTTTTCAGTCCATACATATCTGTTATGCATTCAATTCCAATGAATCTGAGGCTAATATGGGTTGGATACCTTAAGTAAGGGCTGATAAGGATTAAGTAGGGAACCGTAAGGTTAAGTAAGGACTGATAAGGATCATGTAGGGAACCTTAAGGTTAAGTAAGGACTTTTAAGGATCATGTAGGGAACCTTAAGGTTAAGTAAGGACTAATAAGGATCATATAGGGAACCTTAAGGTTAAGTAAGGACTAATCAGGATCATATAGGGAACCTTAAGGTTACGTAAGGACTAATAAGGATCATGTAGGGAACCTTAAGGTTAAGTAAGGACTGATCAGGGTCATGTAGGGAACCTTAAGGTTAAGTAAGGACTAATCAGGATCATGTAGGGAACCTTAAGGTTAAGTAAGGACTAATAAGGATCATATAGGGAACCTTAAGGTTAAGTAAGGACTAATAAGGATCATATAGGGAACTTTAAGGTTAAGTAAGGACTGATCAGGATCATATAGGGAACCTTAAGATTAAGTAAGGACTAATAAGGATCATGTAGGGAACCTTAAGGTTAAGTAAGGACTAATCAGGATCATGTAGGGAACCTTAAGGTTAAGTAAGGACTAATAAGGATCATATAGGGAACCTTAAGGTTAAGTAAGGACTAATAAGGATCATATAGGGAACCTTAAGGTTACGTAAGGACTAATAAGGATCATGTAGGGAACCTTAAGGTTAAGTAAGGACTAATAAGGGTCATGTAGGGAACCTTAAGGTTAAGTAAGGGATAAGGGATAACAAGGATCATATAGGGAACCTTAAGGTTAAGTAAGGACTGATAAGGATCATATAGGGAACCTTAAGGTTAAGTAAGGACTGATAAGGGTCATATAGGGAACCTTAAGGTTAAGTAAGGACTAATAAGGATCATGTAGGGAACCTTAAGGTTAAGTAAGGACTGATAAGGGTCATGTAGGGAACTTTAAAGTTAAGTAAGGACTAATAAGGATCATGTTGGGAACCTTAAGGTTAAGTAAGGACTGATCAGGATCATATAGGGAATCTTAAGGTTAAGTAAGGACTAATAAGGATCATGTAGGGAACCTTAAGGTTAAGTAAGGACTAATAAGGATCATATAGGGAACCTTAAGGTTAAGTAAGGACTGATCAGGATCATATAGGGAACCTTAAGATTAAGTAACGACTAATAAGGATCATGTAGGGAACCTTAAGGTTAAGTAAGGACTAATAAGGATCATATAGGGAACCTTAAGGTTACGTAAGGACTAATAAGGATCATATAGGGAACCTTAAGGTTAAGTAAGGACTAATAAGGATCATATAGGGAACCTTAAGGTTACGTAAGGACTAATAAGGATCATGTAGGGAACCTTAAAGTTAAGTAAGGACAAATAAGGGTCATATAGGGAACCTTAAGGTTACGTAAGGACTAATAAGGATCATGTAGGGAACCTTAAGGTTAAGTAAGGACTGATAAGGGTCATGTAGGGAACTTTAAAGTTAAGTAAGGACTAATAAGGATCATGTTGGGAACCTTAAGGTTAAGTAAGGACTGATCAGGATCATGTAGAGAATCTTAAGGTTAAGTAAGGACTAATAAGGATCATGTAGGGAACCTTAAGGTTAAGTAAGGACTAATAAGGATCATATAGGGAACCTTAAGGTTAAGTAAGGACTAATAAGGATCATGTAGGGAATCTTAAGGTTAAGTAAGGACTAATAAGGATCATGTAGGGAACCTTAAGGTTAAGTAAGGACTAATAAGGATCATATAGGGAACCTTAAGGTTAAGTAAGGACTGATCAGGATCATATAGGGAACCTTAAGGTTAAGTAAGGACTAATAAGGATCATGTAGGGAACCTTAAGGTTAAGTAAGGACTAATAAGGATCATATAGGGAACCTTAAGGTTAAGTAAGGACTGATAAGGATCAAATTGTGAACCTTAAGTTTAAGTAAAGACTGATAAAGATTAGATATAGGGAACCTGAAGGTTAAGTAAGGACTGATAAGGATCAAATTGTGAACCTTAAGGTTAAGTAAGGACTAATCAGGGTCATATAGGGAACCTAAAGGTTAAGTAAGGACTTATCAGGGTTAGATGTAGGGAGCATTAAGGTTAAGGACTGACATGGATCATGAAGGGAGCCTTTTCTTCTTCAGGGTTAGGGATAACACAGAGATTTTTTTCACAGTATGACCAATATCAGAATACAATCATCTGTTTAGAAATACTTAAATTTAATTTGGTTTTGGAATTCTCTTTTTGAACAGTTGCTGAATCCAACATTTCTCAGATGGCTGCTGCTTTTGAGGACAGATTGAACATAAGAGACTGGGTTGCAAATATTCAAGGTATATAACATTATTGTGTTAAGACAGATCAACACTATTTTAAACAGTATTTTCTCCAGATTTCTTGTTCAAGCCATAACTTGAAACAAGGGTGAAATTAAGAGAGTTGTAAGTGAGGGAAAAAAGACTATTTTAACCAATGTATTGAAGATGTAGCCAAGGTCACTTAAAGAGAAATGTGGTCAAGGTCACTTAATGAAAAGTATGAATTGATTGTCTAGTTTTCAGTACAAGTATTATATTAATGTGTCTTAAAGTTAAAATGCAACAGGCATTTTTGACAAGAATATGCATACTACAATGATAGTGATAAACATTCCTTATGTTTGAAACTAGGTCATAAATTGTGTACCTTAAGGTACAAAGGCATAATATACATATACTTTTAATATTGATTTCTCTTAAAAAAGGTGTGATGGTGTTAATATTGCCAAATATAATGACAAAGGAAATGGTGCTTTTTCCAAAGTGGAACTCAATGGAGAATGACCAGATCCGATTCCACCCTCTCTGTAATTACAGATGTAAGTAACTCATGGTGCTCAGATGTAAGTAACTCGTGATCTTACCATTTATTCAAAAATGGTAAACAAACCAAACCTAATAACTTGGTGTAACTATGGATACTTGAATGCGCTTAGAAGCTTGTAAAATCTAAATGTAATTAATAATTGAAAACTGAACCATTAATTCTATCTCATATGTAAATACACCTGTACTGATATATGGAATGTTTCCCTTTATTTTTCTCTCAGTGGAGAACACCCGCCTTAATAGCGGTGAAAGTGACACGTGGGAGTGGCATATCTTGGACGCACCAGGTTTTCAGAGTGAAGGGAACCTGGCCAATACTGTCTTTCTTTGGGTGACTCAATGTGTTCTGCTTAACTCTCCTGTCAAGGTAACAACTTTATCAAATTATTTGTCCTACAAGTAAAATTTATGATTTTTAAAACTTTAAAGATACAGTGCAGTTTATATGTGGAACAGCTAATTCCATAAACAAGATAATGACTATTATCAACAGTAAAATATACGAATCCAAATCAAGTTCCAGTGTTAGGTGGTATCGAAGTGGCTATATCTTGTTAATCTCATTATTTAGGTGACTCTCTGATGGCCCATGGGCCTCTTGTTTAGCAATCATTATGTTGCCATTCTAGATAACTGATTATTTTGTATGTTTGTTTCAGCTGGAGCTATCAACTTATGAGAAATTATTCCCAGAATTAGCAAAGGAACCTTACATTAATGCTAATATGGTAAAGAGAACTTTGCTATACAAATTAACTTTTATGCACTCTGTTATAATGAGAGAAAGCAGTGAAATCATGATTTCTTTATCACAGTTAAATTTCTCTCCCTTTGATTCTGTGTTCAGGCCCCAGACTTAGGTCATGTTGGTCAATAATGAAAATAAATTATACTTGATCATTCTTTTTTACTGGAAAATTTTCATGCAGCTCTATATTCATAAGTATAATGAGGAATTACTGTCCTTCAAAGAGTCGGGCAGTTTTCACAGATGTAATTATATAACATTGATTTTTCAGATCCTACACAGCATTAACTCTTACCTGAATTTCTCCAGTGTTCACAAACATATCTTCCGAGGCATAGATTACGCTGTGAAGCATTTTCTGAAGTCTAAGAAACTGGAAGTTCAGACCATGAAATTTGTACATAAATCTGTGTCCAACAACTTTGAGTCCACTGGACTTGAAGTTGTACCAAGCTTCTTCAACACCAAGCACTTCCTGTTTTTGTGTCCAGGTCACAGGTGCTCTTATGTCCGAAGCCAGGGAATAAGTGAAGTTTCCTTACGAGGGTTTGATAGTGTGTATCATTTGTAAATCATTAGCCTTAATATTTATAAGTTTCCTTTCAGAAACTTGATGTCACTTTCTAAATTTTGATGGCAACTATTTTTTAACCTAAAATTTCTGTAATTACTTTGTTTTATACTATTTTTGAGAGAAGCGAAGTAAATAAAATTTGTGTTCAGTTCCTTTGCTATGTATTTATTAATACCTTTAAATTTTTTAGCTTATGGTAAGTTCATTCAGAACCTGGTGTTGACCAAGAACAATTTAACAACTCTCCCTAAAGAGGTGTTTTCCACCCTGAAGCATCTGAAGATTGTGGATGTCTCAGAAAATATTCTAGAATCACTGCCAGAGACGATAGGACAGTGTGAATTCCTGGAGATATTGAGACTTCAGGAGAACAATCTGCGGGATCTTCCGATGGAATTAGCTCAGTGTACAAATCTGCAGGTGTTAAACATTTCCAGGAACCTGATGGATGAGCTCCCCCTGGTGGTGACCATGTGCTCTAGCCTGGAGCAACTCTACCTGAATGACATGTTCCTGACTCACCTACCAGATGACATAGGTAATATGTTTTACGGTGTGACCGTTGAGGCGAGCGCAGTTGTACCATCAAAACACTTGAAAAATTGATCAGCCACTTCAAACATCAAGTCGCACGAGACATCTCGCCTACCTGTGACGTCACACGACGTCACGGAGCTCGTCGGAGCTTACGGAAACGTCCGAGCGTCCGGTTTAACAATAGACCTTGCACAATTTTGGTCGAAAAACATTGCAGAGTTATTTTTTGTTTCTTTGAAAGATTTCTACAAACTGAAAGCTTTTTATGCTTTACATTATTGTTTATTTATTTATCTATTTCACGGAAGCAACCGACATGACTTAATTAGCATATCGTCAATATTCGTAAGTTTCCGGTGACGTCATATGTATCATTTCCGAAGGGCAAGGTGAAGGCATGGGGGTATTTTTTGAATAAGGCAAGGCAAAATCATTTCGTTAAGATTTCGGTAAGAAACAATGTTCCATTATTTTTTTTTACTATTTTTGATTTATTTGCGCAAAGGACATTGGGTAGTGCAGGAATTCTGGGAATGTTGCACAGAGAAATTTGGCTGACGTATGTACAGATTTCAATCCGAATTTCCTCTGTTCTTACACGTTAGTCTATTGAGCTCGCTTCGCGAGCGTCGCTTTGCGACGCTCGCTGCGCTCGCTATTTACATACTCATCTCATAGTTCCTCTTATTTGAAATGTTCAAATTATCATGTGATTTAAAGAATATTGAAAAAAATTGAAAAAATATCTTCATAAAACAGCTATACATGTGATTGTAAAATTATAAATATTAGTTGTCTTCCCCAGGACATTGTGGACTGTATTAAAGATTCAGATACTTGCATATTGTGGACAAATTTTCAAGGTTGTTTTGAAGAATGGCAAATAAATATGTTAATACATGTATAAATATACCCTCATTTATAATTGATTCATTCCCCACCATCATGAAATCAGAATACAACACATTGAAAATGTGATTCTAATGAGCATTGCTCAAAACCTTTGGTTTTGTGAATTAAATAAAAGTAAAAAGGTTACCAAATATATTGTAAATTCGTTGTGAGTCTATGGTTGAGCCATTGCACACTAAATAGTGGCTGACTACTGGTTACATACAGATCTACACTGTTGAAGTATCAGGAAGTGTTATTTGTGATATTTTATTTCCTCAGGTTGTCTGGATAATCTGGAGATTCTGTACGCCAAAGGGAACTGTTTCACTTCACTCCCCGACAGTTTTGTCATGCTGCAGCGCCTGACGGATCTGTCTTTACGCGGTGTTCTCTTCTTTGTGAGCTCACCGTCTTACATTATGTCCAGGGATCGCTTCGAGGAACTACTGGAGGTTCATGGAATGGCAAGGTGGCTGGATGCCCATAATGAGGTTCATGTCCGTTTAAATTTATCAGAGGGTTTACACTGAAGGGAATTCTTGATTTAGGTTTATCATAAAAAATGTCTTCCTCATAAAAAATATAATATTTTAAGTTTTTTAATATATCTAATATACCAGGTATATATACAGAAGAATTATTTTGAGAATTAGATTAGAATGTTGTGATACAGTAAAATATGCTTATTACTAACATGCTATAGTAAGGAATCAATGCTTACAGCGAAGTGATTTTATTCCCTATGGCTTTAAAATATTTTGTGAACTTTTCGGATATAACAAATTACATTTATAACGAAGCAAAAACGTCAGTCCCTGGCACTTTGTTATAAGTGATTTTTTACTGTATTATGATGATTAGCCTTCAATCTGCTGGGTTTTTATTTCTTTTTATGTGTTACCCTCTTTAATATACTCCTGTGGCATTGTCTCTTTACATATTTTCAAAGAGAGTGATTTAGTTTTCAGTAATTATTACTGATATTTAGGACAAGGAGGAATTGTTCAAGTCCTTTGATGAGGATGGTAATGGTATCTTAGACCAGAATGAGATAGGCAGACTGAATGCCACGATTTACAACATCTTTCCTCGGTTCGGCTACAAAGGAAAAGAAATCCCAGGTAACAGTCACCTTAAGTTAGAGCAGCTTCACATCATTTTGTTAACAAAAAGTTTATTTTTTACCTTTTTATTAAACCAATGCAGAATTCGCCTCTCAGCTTTAAAAAAAGCTAAAAGAGTATTTTGATACTTTATTTTTTTTTTTACTACTGAAGATCACAAGTTTAAAGCCCGAGATAATAAGCACCGCCTTCAGATTTACCTGGTCTGTATTCCCCTGTCAATCAAATAAATTAAGGTCCATTATTGGGTACTTGAAAATGATTGACATTTAGCTGCTAGTCCCTGTGTATATCTCTTTCACCTTGTTTGACAAGCGTGGCCACCATCAAATTAACTTTCGGTTTTCTGATGTTAACCGCTAAATCACCATTGCAATGAGCAAGCCATTTCGATGCAAACAATTTTAGCTTGATTATAATTGATTATAATTATCTTTATTACAAACATTGAAAAATGAAAATGTTCTCATAGTGTTTCAATTAAATAAATCAAGATTGTGTAAATTTTTGTTTCTAATGAAAAGTGCGTAGGTGACTGAAATCTTGATTTAATTCGTAAAAAGATTCTTGTTTTGAGACGCGGTGAAAAAATTACGATGTAAATAAAGGAGAAAATAACCTAGTAACATTTTTTGGTTGAAATGGATAGTAAGGTTGAAAACAAAATGTCTGATTAGTAACAACTTCGCCTGGACAAGTATTAAAATATTAATAGTTTCTTTCTTTTCCTTTATAACCGAGTATTTCTTGCTACGCGGGTTCTTACCTCCGTTCAAGGTCACTTCAAGGTGTTAAAAATAGTGTTGAAAGAAATACAGAAGTTATCAATAAATCAATAAACACCATACCGTAGATTTTTTTTTTAAAAAAGTCGACCGGTGAGATTTCTGCTTGTTTTGATATTGGATATGTCTGAAATTATGGAATTTTACAATAATCATTTATTATAACTAATGATATTTTTTATTCACGATGTCGAGATCTGCTAATTAATGATAAACAGTAGGCCAACAAGCTGTACAGGTAATACTCATTGACTTCCTGTGTATACTGTTTGTGTATAGGGATTAGCGCTTCCCACGGTCTGCAGGACCGTCAATGCCTCGGGGTGCCACCCATGTAAAATTTAGTCCCTCCCCTTACCTGAGAAAACCGTACGGTTAAAAATCTCGGCCTTTAAGGTAAAAAGCATGTTTCAAAAGAAAAAAAAATGGATTAGTTCCTCCGTTTAGGAAAATTAAAGTAAAAATGTTGACAAGTTCTTTTGTCTTAATGTTTATTATACTGAAAATATTTGATTTCTTTGAACAGAGTATCCATGTGGTAGGCAAAGTTACCACATGCATATATAATCTCTCTAAAATAATAGTATATTTCTGAAAAGTAGATGAAAATTGGTAGGCCAATATCCTATTTAATTCACCTGAGCCAAATTCTCAAGAAGTCACAGCAAGGGCCATAGATATAATAAATTTATTATAAACATATGTTAAATTCATATGAACAATAAAGAATTTCTTTTTAAAAAATTCCTAATATTTTACACAGATGAGAACACAGACAGTGGATTTCCTATGCAGATACTTCAGATTCAGAATCTTCGCTACCTGGATTTGACTTACCAAGGCCTGGTACACATCCCTGATTCCATCTCATTCCTCACAAGTCTCCAGCATCTCAATGTCAGCTATAATCCCCATCTCCTGGACATCTCAGCCAGTGTGGGCAGTCTCCCTCTCCTAAGTAAGTCATAAAAATGCTAGCCATCACAACATTTGTGATTTAGCAATGTAGCTATGGATAGATAAACTTTACTTGTACTTGTACTACAGTACAGATTATATTTCAGCCTTGGGAATGACCGAGTGTCCACTACTTAAAACCCCACCCAGAGAAATTCGAGACCAGGGCTTCACAGCCTGCTATGCCTATCTGCGTCGTCTGCTGTCTGGGTCAGTGGAGTGCAAGAGAACTAAACTCATGTTGGTGGGACTGGGAGAAGCAGGAAAAACAAGGTATTAAAAGAGACTTGTCTTCTATGCTATTTTAACAATGTAAACTTACAAGTCTGAGATGAAAATCAGGTCTGTTGTGTTATAGAAAAGAGAAAAGTTTTCGGTTTAATGATAAATTAATAAACTTTAATATTGTTTATGTGTATCAAAAAGATAGCTTTAAAAAGGTGCTAAATTTAACATTGGGAAGAATCCAGACTGTCATAAGCCTTTAACATTAATTTTGTCATATTTGCTCCTTGATTCTTTAAGTCTGGCCAGAGCTCTTCAGTCCAGTGACCTTAAATCCAGCTTGACTGGACATGAAAGCATCACAGATGGTGAGTATCTATAAATAGTAACAACCTCAAATCAAGCTTAACTGGACATGAAAGCATCACAGATGGTAGGTATCATAAATAGTAACAACCTCAAAGCAAGCTTAACTGGACATGAAAGCATCACAGATGGTAAGTATCTATAAATAGTAACAACCTCAAATCAAGCTTGACTGGACATGAAAGCATCACAGGTGGTGAGTATCTATAAATAGTAATGCCATGTCTGTTCATTCATCAACATATGTATGTAACTCAATAAATATCTTTTAAAAAAATTGTTAACTGCATAAGTTAGTAGATGGTTGATAATCTCTATTATTGTATTTATAGTCTTTGGTTAAATTTTGAATTTTATTTCTGTTAGGAACAAGAAAAAAAATTAAAACTGATTGATTTGGTTTTTGTAATTACAGGCATTGATATTTCTACCTGGAAGATATCTCAAGATAACGAGGAGATCTCCTACAGTGTTTGGGACTTTGCTGGACAAACAGTGTACTACAACACACATTATGTGAGTTAATATCTCCCATACCACACGGGGTGGAGTAGTGTCCCATCATTATAACCCTCTGCCTCATAGACATCAAACTTAGTCATAATATTGATTTGAATATCAGTCTAGACATGCTTTTGTGTGACATATTGCTTTTGTGTCTTGTAGTCAATGCATTGTATCACATGTATGAAACACTGCACATTTTGGAAGGGGGATATGTCTGTCTAGCTGTCTGTCCCTCTCCATGTCTATCATCAAATTCTAACTTTGCACAAAAATTACTTCTGATGTGAAGGTGTTGATGACCTTGACCCAAAGTATATGAACAATTTTAAGGTCAGATGCACATATCTTTTGTTAAGATCAAGGAATACAAGGCTATAGGTTTAAATATATTACATGCAAGGAATTCATGATTAACATTTTTTTTATATTTTGTAGTTTTTCTTGTCCAACCGAGCTGTTTACTTTTTGGTGTGGAATGTACGTCTTGGACATGAGCATGCAGGACTCAAGTTCTGGCTCAGCTCAATTTCTGTGCACGCTCCTAAAGCTCCAGTTCTCATTGTAGGAACTCATGTTGACCAGGTATGTAAACAAACTGTAGTAAACATCAAAAAAAGGACATGATTGAAGAGTAGTAATCCGGTTAATATAAGGTTTTTTTTTCTTTTCTTATTTTCATTTATCTTTTCATAGGGGAGGGACTAATGGATCATTCAATTTTTTTTCCTTTAAAAAAAAGAGAAGTTCAATGCAAACCCTTTACATATATTCCTTTAGTTTAAACTTTTTGGAATTCATTTTAAATAAATCTTTTGATGGATGCATGTTGATTATTTGTTTGAAACAGTTGTGGCAACTTTAAGTTTCTTAGTCCTAGAGAGATCTGTCTGTAAAGAGCTTGGTTCACTTTATGCATAAAACGGCCCTGTAAATATACCAATTTATTGACTAGCTCTCAATGTTCCATTTTAAACATCAAAATAAAGTAGAGACCTTATAGTAATTTCATTTCCTATTTAAATTTTTCTCTTTAAACTTCAGGTCATAGTACACAGGCTTTATGGAATTGCAATGTTCTTTAATTTTAGTGTAAACAGGTATATTTGAGTACTTTTAAAGAAGAAAAATAATATAAGTGCACCCTCTGATCTAAAAAATAAAACGTCTTGTAATCCGCCGGAACAGTTCTATCAATCACCGGTTGCTTATTTTTAGATCAGAGGTTGCGCTCAATATTAAATATTGAAAAAAATAGCTAAAAAATTGGCTGTTTTGTAGACTCTTTCATCACCAAAGGTTTAAATGATATTTAATGCATTGTTAATGAAATTTGAGCAGTTTCAGTTTTTCAGAAATTCACAGAGCCAAAAAATGCCATAAGTGAACCATGTTCTTTAAAATATCATTCTTAAATTGAATAGATATTTAAACAGAAATGCAAATATTCATTTGATATATGTACAATTTTAAAAAATAAGATATTTGGGTTTCTTCTTTGATCAGTTATTTGTTTCTTTTCTGTTCAATATTTTAAAGTGATTCTTTTCTTGTTTGTATATATAGGTTTCCAAAATTGAATTACCCATGGAGGAACTGAAGGCCTCCTTTAGCCAAATCCAAGGATTTTTCTTTGTTAGTTCTTTAACAGGACAGGTATGTATAGTTTACATAGGAATTAATGTTTTATATTATAATTTGATTGCAGATATATATATTTTTTTACAAATATATAAAAGTACCAATCTTTTTAAGGGTCTTGACGAACTTAAGGAGAAATTGGTATCTGTGACCTTGACCCAGGGATATATGGGCGAGTCCATCCCTATGGCATGGCTTGAGTTAGAGGACATCATTAAAAAGTAATGAAAACTAGGGCTAATTGTAACGGGAACCGTTACAGATGTTCCCCAAACGCTCCCCAACTCCCTTTTGGTGCCATACTCCCTTTAAGCTTCATTAAAAATGACAAACTCTAGGCATTTTACACTTTAACAACGTTTCCCTGAAGTATACCGAGTATATTCAAATTTTAGCATTTGCACGCGTGCACATGTAAATGCATGTGCGTAATGACCATACTCTCTTGTCTACACTATCTATATACATTAATATAATAAAATAATAAAGCATTTAATCCAAAAGTATTAAAAAATACGCTTCATCAAGTGTATTTTTGATTTTACCCATCTCACGTGCATGCACGTGCATGCATGTGCATGATGACCTTACCTTTTTGTAGGAATCCACTATGTCTATCTATGTTCTAAATCCCATCCTGTTTGGTTGAAAATCAAAGGAGTTATACCCATTTAAAGTTTAAGCCAATCAGATTGCAGCGCACGTGCATGCGCGTGTTTTCATGATACCTGCTATATATTATATTGTAGTATATCCTAATGCATGACTATGTTTAAAATTTCAAAGCATTTCGTCAAAAAACAAAAGAGATATTGAAATCTTTGTTTCAGCCAATCAGAGGGAAGCTCACGTGCATGCACGTGAGTTCGTGCTAATTTGACGATGTCATATTATCTAGACTATTAATATATCCTTATAGAATGAGTTTCAAAGCATTTCAATAAAAAATGTAAAAGTTATGGCTATAATAAGTATATCAGTCATTTCACTCATTTCACGCGCACGCACGTGCATGCGTATGCGCGCAAAATGACCTTCGTTGTGCACACCTACAGTTGACACCTATTAACCCTAAAAAGGTTTTAACTTAGTTGGGTGAACAGTTTCTATAGAACACTCGCGGACAAAAAAAGTACCGGAGAACAAAGAAGAAAAAAAAGAATAATAATAATAATAATAATAATAATAAGAAACCGAGTAAAAACAATATGTTCCCAAACTCCGTTTGGGGAACATAATTTGCAGATTTGTAAAACTGTTTAAGTCTCCATTTATTGACAAACATCATTGGAGGATTACTTAATCAAGTCTTGAATTCACTGTACATTATTGAACTTCAGTGAAAAACTTAAATCTTGATAGTGTATTAAAATAAATTATTAGTAATAAATTATAGATTGCATAAAACATTACAAGGTCACCTCCAAGCAAAGCATCCTCTCACAAAAAGCATATATCTATAAATCAAGTCAGTATTCAACATGAATCCCATTACAGTGTAAATTAGCTCTCATTTGTTTTGCACAAGGACAAACTAACCCAGACACACACACACACAGGGGTGTTACTATATCCCCTTTAACTTTGATGCTAGGGGATTACAAGAATTAACAAGTTTGTACCTTTATTATGAACTTAACTTCAGGTTGAAGACAAAAACAAAGATGGACACGATAGACTACGACCAGCTGTTTAAGAGGGCCAGTGTAGCGGGTATAGTGGACGAAAAAGAGGTGAGTTCAAATCACACGGGAGATAGTCATCTCTTGTCAACTACTGTAAAGGCAGAAAAAATTGTGGGGGATTAAATTTTATTTATTTCGTGTTTATTAATTTTACACAAAAGTTTTGCGGAATATTTCAGTTTGCTGAGGCTGTAGCCTTTTTACACGACCTTGGGTGTCTACAGCACTTCAGTGGTAATGAGTATTTACACTCCAAGGTCGTAGTCAACCCGCAGTGGATCGTGGATGTCATGGCGTGTGTTGTATCCGTCAAAGAAAGCCCAATTAAGGTACTCATCAAATTAATTTAATAATTAAATTTAGCTGAAAAATATAGTTTTAGTTTATAATATCAGCAAATGTCATGCATTGAATTCCATTTCCTTGAAGAGGCATTCTTACCTTTGTCTAAAGCTTTTGCTGGTTGTTTTATGCTGAGTTGGCAATATTTCAGCCATTGGTTTAATGGTATTAAACATTTTTCATGGATATGATTTTTATTTATGCACAGAATGGGAGGCTGAACCATAAAGATTTAAACATAGTGTGGAAAGATTATCCTGAGTCCCTGCACCAGTGGCTTCTACGCCTGACGGAGGAGTTTGATCTGACCTTCTTTATTCCCCCTGAGGAGGGCTCAAAAGACAAAGTCAACCTAGTCCCATGTCTTCTACCAGAAAATAAACCCAAGGTAGGGACAGATGAAAACTGAAATGCTCATAGGCAGGTTTGTTAAAAACAGAGAATCAAAGAATATTCTCTGACAGTTTTTTTATGTAATATAATTTTAGTTAGGGAACATTTGTTCTGATTTCTTACGGAGAGGAGATTGATATGATTGTTGAGTACTTATGAGGTTTCCTTGTCCCCAGTTTGAGTGGCCGGAGGCAGATAAGAAGAGTGGTATCACAGAGACTAAGATGGTTTACCTGTTTGATTACCTCCCCGCTGGGCTCTTCAATAGGGGCCAGGTGAGCTAAACGTCAACCTCTGATATCAACAATTGCTAAATCATCAACCTTCAATAAATATTTGCGAATTAAAGGTCACAAGATATTTCTCGCGCACCAATAAAAGTTAGTTTGAAGTAACCACTTTAGTAGTAAATGTTCAAAAGATTCTAGTCTGACAGGTTGATTGTAGGGGAAGATTTTTTTATGCAAAGTTGTGTAACATTGCATTAAGTTTTGACCAAAAAAACATGCACAAAGAGAGTTTATAATACAAATCAAATAGGGTCATTTGTATAATAGTTGATATCCTGTTTCAGGTGAGACTACAAGAATACTCTGACTATTACATTATCTGGAAAAAGGGCTCATACCTGAAGAAAGATGGACAAATTGCCATTCTACAGCAAACCAAGTGAGTTGATCATACACTGTAAAATCACTAATTTATGTTTTCAGTTTGGTTTAATTTTTATTGTTTTCGAGGTATAGAGAGATGCTCAAATTCATGACCACCACGAAATGTAAAATTTCATATGCATTATTACTCGACACTTTTCCAACCATGAAATCAAATCCTCTCAAACCCTTATTTCTCTCTCAAACCTATTTGAACCCACGAAAATATGTGATTTTACAGTAATTATATTGTTGTCATTAATTGCCATTCTCTTTTGGAGAGTATTTCTTGAAAAATCTAGCTTCCTGTAGAATTTCTTTATAATTTTTCATGTTGAGCATGGAATATCTTGATTAATATTTGATGTATGTTTAATTGTATAGAGACACAGAGATGGTTGTTCGAGTGCAGGGAAAGATGCCAGAAATCGTCCTATTCCACATCCATGAGGTGTTTGAGAGTCTGATTCTAGAGGCGTACCAGGGAGTGCGATACGATTTTACAATCTCGTGTCCTGATTGCCTGAAACACTCGGCAAAGGACCCCCACATGTTTCTGGCTTCCACCATACGTAGAGCCATAGAACTAAAGGCCCCTTTCCTACAGTGCATGGCTTACTTCCACACCATTTCTGTCGTCGACTTGCAATGTGAGTATACCTACTGCTATTTTTTTTTTTAACCCTTTAAATCAAAATTGACAAATTGAAAAGATTGACAGATTTTTAAAGGATTTTGAAGAAAACTATATCTTTTATAAATATATTGACCAATAAACTCTTTCAATCCAATTAAAACAATATTTATTAATCATTTTATAGAATCTGTCATGAATACGTTTGTTATATGTAAAAAGTAATAAAGGATGAAAACTAGACAATTTAAAATACACAAGGTGTATAATAAACACAGAATACTGAAGTGAACAGAGGCGAATCATTATAAATGAACTGTTTCAGCTGTGATGCCTCCAACCAGTAACAATGATTTTGATGTCCACATTCAGAAAGCGGTCAGTGGTTTACAAGATCTACGCCGCAATATGAAGATAGGTCTGTATCAACCCGGGTTTCCATTTTAAGTGATTTACTTTTATGGGAAAAAAGCTTTTAAAATTCTACAATCTACAATTAACATTTGAATACAGTAAGTTACATCATCAGTTTACTTTGTTTTATGCTTCATTAGTTAAAATATCCTAGAAAAATATTTTCAAGGTCAGAAAAATTAATTTGTGCACAGAAAGTTATGCAACATAATGTGTTTCTTCCATTGTAAGTGAAGATCATCATACTCAATTCTCCCAAACTGCTCCTCGACAGGTCCTGACCCGGGCCGCCCCGGAATAAATCTGGGCGGTGGTATATTATAAACTGGAGGAACATTCTCTCTGGGCCTGTTTATATCATTCTGTGCATATTTATAGAGTCGTATTAGCTCCCTGCCTTTGAGGTTGGCAGCTTTCTTCTTATACTTCTGAATTTTAGCCACGAAGTCTTCACAGATCTGTTGGTACCAGGCTTCAAACTTCTCCTTGTACTCGTGAATTAGAGTTCCAGTTTCCTGGATCTCCGTCATCATTTTATCCTGGAGGTGGTCCACCATCTCAATCTGTTGATTTCTGTCCTCCGTCAAACATTCACGGAACATTTTATGTTCCTCAAGGGTCATACCCTCTAGAGTTATCTTTCCCTGTTTGTACAGTTTCACTCGATGCTGCATCTCTTCTTTCTTAGACGTGAAAAAGCAAGGCCTGGGGTCATTCATGTTGGAGGTCCTCCTGCATTGGCCACACACAAGCTTGTGGCAGTAGGTGCAGTAGATATTCTGGTAACAGTCCTCGTGATCTGGACAGTGCATGTCTCCTTTATGTTTCTCCCACAGCTGGATATTGATTGAGTGGTGCTTAAAGCTTGCCTTACTCCTTAGATGGAGATGATTGCACCAGTTACACAAATTCTGGTTACATTCTACACAGTGGTGATTCACATTCTCGTAAATATCACACAGGTCACATGGAACATCTCCCTTGATGACGACTCCGTCTGGAGCAAAGACCTCACCCCAGGATTTTTTGGGTGGGGCTATCTTCTTATACTCTTGGCATAGCTTGTGGCTCTCAATTCTGCCATTGCAAGAACAGTCCATTCTTGAGCAAAATACTGTTTCTTTGTAGGAAAATACTTGATTCTGAAACTGACATAAGAAAAATTCTTTGATTAAAGTGTTATAAACAAATTTATAACAACGTTTTACACTCTTCTTGTTGAGAATTTAATTTTAAATTTTGGCAGAGATGTAGATGGAGGGATAACCACTACATGTATAAGTATTTTATTACTTTATAGCCATCAAAAGCACAGGGCCGAAAGCTGCTAGATATGAGGTCTTAAATGCATTAGGATGGGAAATGAGGGTTCCATGTTGCATGAGAAAGAGAGAAACTGAATGCAGGTGAAATACATGTATGATAAAAAATATCCCAGGTGGAAATATAGTACAGGTGGTCACTATGACAGGTGTAGTCAAACATACTTATTTTTGAGGGAGATACTTGTTCAAAAAGTTGCATGATTTGCTTATGAGGAAAACTATTTTGTAGCATTTCATCCATGTCATTTAATGCTGAATATGGCCTGTATACAGTGTAGCTACAGAACTGTAGCTCGCTGGTCTGAAAGTTGGGGATGGATGACCAGAGAGCTACAGTGTCAACCCTAGAAAAAAATTGTGTATTTATTGCGCACAAAAATTTGTGCTCCATTGTGGATTAATTTCTCCAATTCTTATCTCAACTGTATAAAACCTTGATTTCAACATGTTCATTTTACCTCTATCAACTTCTCTCATGTTTGATATCTGCACAAAGCACTTTGGACCGAATTATCTTTTGGCCAAAAATGGCAGTGTAAATATGGAAAATTTTGTGAAGATGGAGAAATAAATCAAAAAACGGCAAAATTTTTTATGTGCAATAAATATACAGTTTTCTCAATTTGAGGCACTGTAGTGCTCCGGTCTGTCAATATGCTTTCTTTAGGTAACCTGAGTAAACTCAGGTGACCTATTGCTATTCGTTTTCATCCGTCGTCGTGCGTTGTGCGTTAACATTTGAACATTTTCAGCTTCTTCTCTGCAACCACAGAACCAATTTCGACCAAATTTGGGCACAAAGCATTTATGGGTGAAGGGGAACAAAAATTTCATGATCCCTGCCCCCCTCACTTAAAATCCACTAAAATTAATGCAATCTTTAAAAATCTTTTTTTACTCTTGGACATCAAGCAGTCAAATTGTTTGCATGATTGTAATCAGCATTGAGTCCTCTACCAAAATTTTGAAATTCATGGCCCTGGGGTCAGGGGTTCTAGTGCTAGGGTGGGGCTAAAACGAGTATATAGTGTTAATGCTTATTTCTTTGAAAATCTTCTTCTCTGCTCCTAGGTAATAAATAAACTAACTAAATACATAGTTATAATGAGCAAGAGTGCCTCTTTCAAAATTGTGAATTTTATGGCCCCATGGCCAGGGATTCTGGTGTTAGGGTGGGGCTCTCTATTGATTATATAGTGAAAATAGATGAATTCTTTGAAAATCTTCTTCTCTGCTCCAGGGTAATAAATAAACTAAGTACATAATTATGATGAGCAAGAGTGGCCTCTACCAAAATTAAATTTTATGACCCCAGTATTATAAACAGGGTGGGGCTAGGTCACCTGAGTAAACTCAGGTGACCTATTGCCATCTGTTTTTGTCTGTCGTCGTGCGGTGTGCGTCGTGCGTCGTGTGTGAACATTTGAACATTTTCAGCTTCTTCTCTGCAACCGCTCAACCAATTTCAACCAATTTTGGCATAAAGCATCTATGGGTGAAAGGGAACAAAAATTATGAATTTCATGGTCCCTGCCCCCCTGGGGCCTGAGGGGTGGGGCCAAAACCACTAAAATTAGTGCAATCTTTAAAATCTTCTTCTTTACTCCTGGACATCAAGCAGTCAAACTGTTGGCATGATTGTAATGAGCATTGAGTTCTCTACCAAAACTGTGAAATTCATGGCCCCAGGGCCAGGGGTTCTAGTGCTAGGGCAGGGCTATATATAGATTATGTAGTGAAAATGCTTTATTTCTTTTAAAGTCTTCTTCTCTGCTCCTGGGTATTAAATAAACTAACTAAGTATGTAGTTATGATGAGCAAGAGTGCTTCTTCCAAAATTGTGAATTTTATGGCCCCAGGGTCAGGGGCATGTTACATTGATTATATAGTGAAATGATAATATTTTATAATCTTTTTCTCTGCTCCTGGGTATTAAATAAAGTAACTAAATATGTAGTTATGATGATCAAGAGTGACCCTTCCAAAATTGTGAATTTTATGGCCCCAGGATCAGGGATTCTGGTGTTAGGGCAGGGCTCTATTGATTATATAGTGAAAATGCATTAATTCTTTTATAATCTTCTTCTCTGCTCCTGGGTATTAAATAAACTAACTAAATATGTATGATGATCAAGAGTGCCTCTTCCAAAATTGTGAATTTTATGGCCCCAGGATCAGGGATTCTGGTGTTAGGGCAGGGCTCTAATTATATACAAAATGCATTAATTCTTTGAAAATCTTCTTCTCTGCTCCTGGGTATTAAATAAACTAACTAAGTACATAGTTATGATGAGCAAGAGTGCTTCTTCCAAAATTGTGAATGTTATGGCCCCAGGGTCAGGGGTTCTGATGTTAGGGCGGGGCTCTATTGATTATATAGTGAAAATGCATTAATTCTTTGAAAATCTTCTCCTCTGCTGCTGGGTATATAATAAACTAACTAAGTACATAGTTACATGTATGATGACAAAGTGCCTACAAACTGTGTAATTTTATAGGGTCAGGGGTTCTGGTGTTACGGTGGGGCTCTATTGATTATATAGTGAAAATACATGAATTCTTTGAAAATCTTCTTCTCTGCTTCTGGGTATCAAATAAACTAATTAAGTATATAGTTATGATAATCAAGAATGCCTCTTCCAAAATTGTGAAATTTATGGCCCCAGGGTCAGGGTTCTGGTGTTAGGGCGGGGCTCTATTGATTATATAGTGAAAATATATGAATTCTTTGAAAATTTACTTTTCTGCTCCTGGGTATTAAGCAGATGAACTACTTATATAGTTATGATGAGCAGGAGCCCTTCTTCCAGAATTGTGAATTTCAAGGTCCCATGGTCAGGGGTACCATGGGGGGGTGGTTCTACTTATATACTGAAAATGAATTTAATTGTTTGAAATCTGCTCGTTTATGTTAATCAAATATTTTTGATAAGCAAGGGTGCCTTTTCAAAAATTGTGCAATGTGTGGACCTAGGGTCAGGGGTTCATGTGTGGTAAGGGCAAATTATTGTGAATATTCCTGATTAGTTGAAATGCATTTTTTGTCCTCCTACAGTTTTAGGTATTGATTTCCATTTAACTTGTTACACAATATAACAATTATAAAATATAAAATTCTGTGTAGCATCTGGTTAAAATATGAACCAAATTCAATCACTGGAAAGTTGTTGCCGATGCTCAGGTGACCTATAAAATAGAAATTTCTGTGAAATTCTTTAAAATATACAGTGGTACATTTTATATTAGATTTCAAGCAATTCATTGTTAATGTACATGTGTCTCTGTCACTTAAAATCTACTTATATTATAAAGGTCTTTTTTCACGGATTTATTATACTAAATGTTCACAATCTTGAAAATCAATATACTCAGTAGCAGTCTGTCAATTTGCAGATTGAAAGCTGTATATACAGTATATTTATTCAAGCTTATAATTACTTTAAATGTATAATTGGAACATTCAAGATACAAAAAAAATCAAATAAGATATACTGGGCACTTGCTCATGTTTATATCAATCTTTTTCCAACAATTTTTTGAACATTTCATATAATAATTATGAATTCAATTAGATCCTGATTGACAGCTCACAATATTTTTAGGGTATTGCAATAATTGAATTATAACTGTATATAAACAAATGTAGCTAGGTTAAGCCTCAGATGAAATCTTGTATCAAACTATGTATAACAGAGAATGTGGAGCATTATAAACATAATACCTATGTCCTATATAAATACAAAAATGGACATTTCTGTGAAATTCTTTCACAAATGCTAAGGTTTCTCCTTACAGTTTTGGCAGTCCCTGATTTCAATATAACAGTTACCTAGGCTCACAAGTCACTGCTAAGATAAATAATTCTCTTTAATCCAGCTTTTGGACATTTAAATGTAAAAATTCTTGGTTATGCAGGGTCATGTACAGCAATTGTTTATGTGCAAGTTGTGCTGGGTATTAATTATCCACTGTAATGGCATACACATGTAAAACTAAATGATATATGATCTTACACCCAGGAAGATTTTATAATACTAATATGTCATACATCATACATAGAAAGGAATTCAAAGTTAAAGTTTGGAATTTGAAGCTCATCTTAATATCAGATGAGTTATACCCCAAACACTTGCTTAAGTAGTAATCACCATCATCCCACATTGGACAAAGATTTCTCTTAATTAATCAACACAAAGTAAACTTCCTTTGACATTCATTTTTACATAAAGAGCTTGGTTCACTTTCTGCATAAAATATATATTCACTATAACTATAGAGATATATTCTTCCATTACCCATAAGTATAGACTTAATGCTTCCACAACCCATAAGTATCAAATAAAGACTTAATGAAACTATCATCTATATGAGAATAAAAAAGAGACACTTCCTTTACCTGTACAGTATAAAACAGAGACATATGCTTCCATTATCCATAAGTACACAGTAGAGACTTCGCATATTTAATGGTATAATTATCTCACACTTGTAAGTATTTGACTTATTTGGCTGTAACTGAACAGTTTTGGGAGTATAAAATTTCATACGATTGACTGAAAGAGCAGTTTTGGGAGTATAAAACTTGATATGATTGGCTGAAAGATCAGATTAGGGAGTATAAAACTTGATATGATTGCATGAAAGAACAGTTTTGGGAGGAGAAACCTAAATATGATTGGCTATTTGATCAGCCCTTGGAGTATAAAACTTATATGATTGACTGTTTGATCAGTTTTAGGTGTATAAAACTCAGTATAATGGACTGGTTGATCAATTTTGGGAGTATAAACTTAGATATGATTGGCTAGTTGACCAGTTTTTGGAGTGTAAAACCTAATATAATTGGCTGTTTGATAAGATTTGGGAGTATAATGTTAACCTAGATATGATTGGCTGTTTGATCAGCATTGGGAATATAAAACCTAGTTTATGATTAGCTGTTTGATCAGCTCTGGGAGTATAAAACTTAATATGATTGGCTGTTTAATCAGTTTTAGGTGTATAGAACTTAATATGATTGGCTGTTTTCCTTACAGACTTGTTTCTCTCCTACTGTGTGGCCGATGCCCCGGCAGATGACAAGAATGTCATTCACCCTGCTCAGGTTCACCAAGACTTGAAGAATGCTGGATACACTTGGTGAGAGATTTCTCCTGCAATTTCTAAGAAAAGTAGAGAGTAAATATAGGATTACCCATGGTTTGTAGTTGAATACAATTTTTATCCAAAGAGTTATGTGTTTTTGATAAAGGGGTAAACATGGATTAAAATACTTTATCAATTTTCAAACATAAATTTGTAAAGCAGAAGGGAAATGAAGAGGAGATGAAAGCAAATTCTTTTGATAAATTTTACATTACACAGTTTAGACTTCTAGAAAATACGTGCCATTTCATTGTTGTGGAACCTGAATGTATAGATTGTATACAGGATTATATTCACTCATGTTATTTTCGCTTTTCACTCTTGCAAAACAATTTTGCCCCATTTTAGATTTGCCCAGTCACTATTTTATTTAAGAAAAAATATTGTTATATGAATAAGACTCATTTTAAATTTGCCTATCTATTAGTAGGTAGAAAGAAGTGAAAAAATAGGTCAATTATTTCTGTATACGGTATTATATGAGGTTTATTATTGTAATACATGGTGGGTATTCAACTATTTGTTTCATTACAGTTGGTTTCCAGAGGAGAGCAATCAGTATTCAACTGACTTGATGGCTCGGGCTCTCATGGACTCCACCATCTTTGTCGTGTTTGTGTCCACTAACTACGCAAATGACCGATCCTGTACGGACATCTTTAAGTATGCCAAGCTGACCCTGGGGAAGCCGATGGTGGTGATCGTTGTGGGGGAGGATAACTATTCCTGGAGGAAAACTAATCTGGGGCTGCTACTCCCTGATGTGGTAACTTATCTGAAACACTGAATCTTATGTATAACACTGAATCTTATGTACCACACATACACATGATACAGGTGTTAACTCAGAAAGAAAACTAATCTGGGGCTGCTACTCCCAGATGTGGTAACTTATCTAAAACACTGAATCCTACATACAACACATAAAAGTGTTAAATCTGAAGGAAAAGTTCATATTAAAGTGACTAGAAAAAAATATAAAGACCCTAATATTTTTCTTATGGTAAACTTTATCCTAGTCAAAAAACATTACATCTTAAACAGCTTCCAAGACACAGTAGCTCTTCTCTACCTCCTATACCTTCAAAGTTAATGGTATAAGACCTCTGTTTATTTTGTAGTCCTTTGTCAACATGATCAATTCTAAGAAGTACAACTACAACAGTAAGTTCCAGGAGCTGCTCGGAAAGTTAGATGAGTTGATGAACTTAACTGGTAAGGTCAAGGACAGAGAGAGCCCGGAATGTTTCATCAGTTACTGCTGGAAGAACTCGGCCCAAGCTGTGGCCCTAGGTACCAGGTGAGTGACACTGCAACTGGGCAGTTACCCAGAAATATCACTGTAAAGAAGTTGAGGGGAGATTCAATAGATTACAGTAAAACTTGTTATGTACGAACATGGATTTTGCGAATTCACAGATATAGCGAAGTGATTTTGGGTTCCAGCTTTATAAATTTAATGAATTCCTTATACAGATATAACGAATTAAGGAAATAGCAAAGTAATTTCGTAGGTCCCAGTGACTTTGTTATAAACAAGTTTTACTGTAAGTGTGATGCTCTGATGTTTAACTCCAGTAATATCATTGAGCACATTGTTGTTATTTTGCCTAGAGAATGAAAAATCAGCTTCAGTAATTCTATAATGTATTCTCGAACCTTTCCATTTTCTTTGTTCTGAAATGAATCATTCCAAAATGCATCATGTTGTTTCACACCATTGTATAAACTCATTACTTATATAAAGATCTGTCTTTGAAGATCTGGATCAGCTTCATTAGGGTTTGGAGATCCAAGGGAAATCAAATCCTACCTGGAAGAAAACTGCATCAATTGTTGGATTGATGTGGAAAGGATTGGGATGGTAAGTTTTGTTGTGTCCTGACTATGTAACTGACTGTACAAGTTTTAATGATGTTCACATCCACTGATGAGACAAAAGTTTTGGATATTTTCACTCCTATTTTGCACTCATGAAAATATTTTTTAAAATGTCACACCACCAAAATAAATTCTATGTCCAATAACAATACATTGTGTGTTCTTTATATTTGATTTGTTAAGGAGGTAATGATTTAATTCCACAGAATGGGCTGTTTGATGAGATATTTTATATGTCAATTTAATGATTTATTCCCACAGAATGGGCTGTTTGATGAGATAGCTAAAGGTCTGCTGGAGAGCCGCGTGGTGGTGGCGTGTGTTTCTGACGATTACGTGGAGTCTCCCAGCTGCTGTAAAGAGTTCCGCTACGCCTGCACCGTCCTGAACCTGCCCATTGTCATCTGCGTCGTAGGAACCGGGCACAAGTGGAGGAGGAGTGAGGTAGGTCTATCCTAGTGTATTTATAGATTTAGCAATGTCTGTACTGTATATCTATAGGAGTGAGGTAGGTCTATCCTAGTGTATTTATAGAAGCAATGTCTGTCCTGTATATCTATAGGAGTGAGGTAGGTCTATCCTAGTGTATTTATAGAAGTAATGTCTGTCCTGTATATCTATAGGAGTGAGGTAGGTCTCTTCTTTCAGAGAATATCATGATCTTCAAAAATTTTCTGATCAATGGCAAAGCCACAATTAGTCTTATATGAAAGGATCTTCAGAGTAGAATAGCTTCAAATTTGTTCTTATCTTAGTGCATGGAAAGGGATAAATGGGTTGGGGATAAGAATTAGGGCAACCATAGGCAATCAATTTTTAAAGTAGAAATATAGGAAAAAAATATGAAATATTTGTCCTTAAATGAAAAGCCATTATATGTCATGTTGGTAAAAAAAAACATTTTTAGTTACTTAAGATTCAAATTTGTTAAGATCTAGCCTCGGGATCATGAAACATCTTAAGCTTAAGTCAAAATCTTTATTTAATAATAAAATGTAGTAAATGTCAAGCAGAACAAAATTAAAATATTTTTCAGTATTGTGTAACAGAGGTTTGTTATCTGCAAATTTGGAAATAAATTTCATAATTGATAAATATTTTTTAGGCGATTGAAAATTTGACTTTTAAAAGTCAGATCCTGAAGGCAGAACTGTCAAGACTAGTTCGAGGCTTTAATATGGGGTCATACTTTTCCAATAGGGAAGAAATACTAAGGAAGAAATATTTTCAAGAGTAGCAAACATAGTTGCCAAACTCAATTATATTGGTTACACCCGATTTAATTAACCCGATTATTTTTTATGACCCGGCGGGTCATGCTTTTCACCCGATTTTTGCGGAACAAACCGAAAATCTCCCGATGTCCGGATTTGGTTCGTAAATTAGGTTGCACTTTTAACTTCCAGTTACAACCCAAGCTTGGATCTACATATTTAAAACAATGCCGATGGCTATGCTCTGTGGGCCGTTTACCAGTAAATTATGAGTGCAGGTGTAAACAATTAACTGGGAGTTGTCTTGACAAATCAAAGTTTGAAGTCAATTTAAAATGGCTTCCGATAAAGTAAGTCAACATCAGGGTCTTGCACATACAAATTGAATAAGAATAGAGAAGCAATATTTATGTACATATCAATTAAGGAATCTTAGAAAACAACTTCCATACTATAAAATAATACAGTGATCGAAGATAGTGTAGACCTACCTCACTAGTACCTGTACATCTAAAACATATTGCACTTGTTAATTAAATTAAATAAGAGATAGAAAAAATCACTTCAAAACCAAAACTGGAATACTTCCAAATTTAGCACAAATTAAACTGAAAAGGCTTTCTTTAAAAAAAAAAAATGCACACTTAATTCAGGTCAGTACTGAATAATGAAACCTTCAATGCTCTTTTTAACATCTAAATTTAATCAACAATTGAACATATATTAATTTTTTGTCTTTGTAAGTTAAAGCCTTTTTTAAATAAAAGAATTCTCAATACACAAATACTTATACATATATATATATAATTTAATGATGATAAATATGTCGTGAATGTCGTTACGCGTTATGACCAGATTTTGTTATTTTCCAAATCTGGTCATGACCAGATTTTTACATGTCAGAGGTTGGCAAGTATGGTAGCAAAACCAAACTAAATTATATTGCATGTAATAAACAAAACATTCTTTTGTGGTATTTACAACCAAGGATCCAATATTCATAGAAAGAGGGGGGAAAAATTCTGGAACAGCAGGACAAAGATAATTGTATTGATATTGAAGCAACCCAAGGTGTGGATTCAAATTTAGTGAAATCAAAGCCCCAATAGGACTACATTATGATCCAAAATATGAAATCATTTTACTGTATTACGTATTATATTTGACTGTGTATTCTTTTTAGCGGCTTTGGCGGAACGCAGCAACCGCTAAATCAAGTGCAACACTAAATGTCTTGCACATATACACATAAATAAGAATATGAAGAAATGCGCTAAATCAAATCTACGCTAACTTATTCAAAAGTCAATTTCTGCCAAATATTGTACACACTAAATATAATACATTTACAGTATTTAGCTGATGAATAGCAGGGCCAAAGTGACATAGGTGAGCATTGTGGCCCATGGGCCTTTAGTTCAATTTAAATGGTATAAAAATAAGTTTAAGACCAGGCAACCTTTAGAAAATTGTTTGGATGCCCTCTCCTGACTCGGTCTGAAAATATTGGGACGGTAGGAAGGTAAGAGATTTTTTTTCTCAGAAAATTTCAATTTCAGTGCTAATTTTTTAAATTCCATTTTCCAGAGTACTTAAAAATGAATAACTGTTTATTGGAGAAAAAGAGTTTTGAGTTGGGACATTTGGTCAGGAGAGGGCAACCAAACAATTTTTTAAAGATGGCCTTTTTTGGTGTTCCTCTTTTGAAAAGGCAGACAAACTGTTGTAATTTATGTTATCTTTACCTGAGTAGGGATATAAGTATCTTTAGGTCAGAGGTTCAAGTCCCAAGATAAGGTTTATCACATACAGGTGTACCCATTTCAAACATATAGCTTTATCTTTAAAAGCATGTAAAGGTATTCAATCTTGCTTCTCAAGTAGCTGTCAAACTTCACGGGCCTGTTGTTTTGTTTCTTATCGATTGATTTATTTTTTCTCTGAAAAATATTAATCATATACGATAAATCAAAAAGTGACACACTGATTTAACCTTAATAAGGTGAATGAAATATCAAAGGGTTAATTATGGTTAGGTACTAGAATTTGCTGTGATTTATTGCTTTTTGAAAAATAACAAAAATAAAGAAAAAAAATAGACACACCATTTCTGCAAATTACTGTTTTCAGAAATTTAATGATTTAACTTTAATTCAAAAAGCATAAAATCTAGATTTTTATTTTAATATAATTATACCCCCTCCAGAGCAGAGGTGGTATACTGTTTTACCCATTTATGTCTATGTGTCTGTCCATAGCAAATTTTCATTTGAGTTTTCACAGCAAATACAGATGCTTGAAACTTTCACTCTCTTTATCTAGGCATGCCATATGGTGGGATTTAGGGAAGTCAATGAATATTCGAATATTCATTCCATGAGTTGATATTCGAATATAAATTTGAGATTCGAATATTCGTTTTTTTTCAGTATACAAGCATTGAAAAGGGAGAAAAACCGACAAGTTTGATTAGAAATTGAATCAAGTTTGTACAAAATTAAAAAAAAAAAAACACTACTCTTGGATTACCTTAAAGGTGTGAAGAGTGTATCTATTAGCCTAAGAGTAATTTATTTATTTGTTCACTTAATTAGTGGTATAATAGTTTCCAGAACTAACAATCAGCTTGTATTGTTGTAAGTGCCCAGTTTTACAGTAAACACAGAATTCTTGTTTATGTAAATATCATTAAAAATCATTATCAGGAAATTATAATTAGCAAAAATAATTGCTTTTAATATTTCACCGTTAGATAATTGTTCCGCTTGGTATAAATTTGTAGGAGTTATCTGATTCAGTGTAGACTTAAGTAAGATGATCAATTAATTTGGAACATATTAAAGAATCTTTTGAATTTTCAAAAATCAATCATTACATTTTAGATGTATACTGTTAAATAATTTTAAAAAATATAAATAATTGTAGTGCATTTTCCGAACTCTACACGAGATTTTATTCTAAAATAATGGCATAAAACCTATACTGCTTGACAGGAGAGTGAAGATTTATATTTAATAATGGAAAATGTATTTATTTTATCGAATATTCGAATATCAATTATTGACAATTTTGACATCCCTAGTGGGATTCATTTTTGTTTGAATCCCAAGTCAACTTCCTGTTTATCAAAGTGCCTATTCATATCAAATTTCTGTCTTATTTTTCTCAGCAACTAATTGAAGCAGATACTTGACTTTTAGTACAAACTTTCTTTTGGCACACCATTTGCTGAGATTCATTTTGTATGAATTCAATATCAACATAAGAGGGTATATTGGGGTATTACTATTGAGTTTTCACTCACAGACTTCTTGGTTTACTTGTATTACTAATTTTAATATACTGTTTTTAATGGTTTTTATGAATTCATGTTGTATTTTGAGACTTACATTGGAGTTTCTTTCTGATTCTTCTTTCTTCCCTCACTGCAGTGTTAGAATGCTGTTGTAGATAGCCATGCTGGCTGTTGTTGGAAATCTCTGTCTATTCTGAAGGTAGTCAAGCTGTCTGTGAACTATCCCATGATAGTTGATGAGGTTCATCTGTCTATCTTGTAGGCAGCCATGCTTTCTCTGAACTGTCCTGTTTTAGCTGTCCATCTTGTTGTAGGTAACCATGCTGTCTGTAAAGCATTTTGTTGTGGGAATTCTTTGTCTATTTTGAAGGTAGCCATACTGTCTTTGAACTATCCTATTTTAGCTGTGTATCTTGTTGAAGGTAGCCATGCTGTCTGTAAACTATCCTGTTTCATTTGTCTATCTTGTTGTAGGTAGCCATGCTGTCTTAACTAACCTGTTTCATCTGTCTATCTTGTAGGTAGCCATGCTGTCAGTGTTATAACTATCCTGTTTTAGCTGTGTGTCTTGTTATAGGTAGCCATGCTGTCTGTGAACTATCCTGTTTTAGCTGTGTATCTTGTTGTAGGTAGCCATGCTGTCTGTGAACTATCCTGTTTCATCTGTCTATCTTGTAGGTAGCCATGCTGTCTGTGAACTATCCTGTTTTAGCTGTGTGTCTTGTTATAGGTAGCCATGCTGTCTGTGAACTATCCTGTTGTCAGCTTCCAGTTGGAGAGTGATGAAGCACATCCTAAACTGCTACAACTTGTGGAGGAGACGTTGGCCTCTAGTAACCAAGACAACAAGGAAAAGGAGAAGAAGAAGGAGGGGACATCAGACAAGGACAAAGACAAACAGTTCAAGGTCATTCATTATTTCTGGATCATTAAGCTTCAGCTAATTATTTTTATGAAATTTTTGGATAATATTCTTCAATTCTTTAGGGCTTGGTTTAAATAAAATGGAATGCAACCTTAAGCAAGAACCTGTTCTAGAAAATGACCTTCACCTCCAAAGATCAAATAAAATAAGTCTGTGGAACATTTATTTGAAAAACATATCACTTACCAGACCACTAATATTGTTCTTAAATTGTTTGTTTTACAGGAGCTTTATGAGTTAGCTCAGAGAAAGTTTCTAAGACAGATAACAAAATATGCTTCAAATCATGATGTGGAACCTTACCCTCGATTGTTTGTAGCTGACATTGTACCACTGGAGGAAAATATTCCCACTCTAGATAAATCCCTGTCAATAGGTATAAAAAATTTAAAACCCTAGACTCTAGATAAATCTCTGTCAAAAGGTATAAAGAACTGATCCAGCATATATTATTTAAAATGAAGACTATACAAATTTGTTTATGGACCAATTGTAGAAGAAAAATTTGGGAATAAAGAAGAGAACCAGTTGGAGAAAGGAGAAACAGAGGTCATAAATTCAGGGTTCGTCTCCAGACGGTTCTCCATTAACATCTTGTGTGAATGTGACCAGGTATTTGGAACTGTTATGTTGAACAATTTTCTGAACTTAAAGGAAAACTTGCAGTAGGTTTCACATCCTGAATTCACTTCTTTTATTGCCAGGGCTGGCATAGTGTGGACAAAGCCATGATGCTTCCAGAAGATTTTGGGACAGAATACCTTAAGAAGTATGCCCCGTACCTGTCTCGCATCACAGCCATTATGAAGCACAGTAAGAACTATGTGATGGACTGTATGACAGATGAGGATGGACAAAATTACATGAAGTGGCTGTTTGAGGTTTGGTTCTAGTCACACTTTGCTGCAGTGTCGAAGGTTTTTGTTGGAAAAGAAATTATCACATCAGTTTTCTAAACAGTTGGTTATTTTGCACTATCAATATTTTTTCCAAAGGCATAAAAAGTTTATATTTTGTTTATATAGTTAATTACCCTCCAACCCCATTCTATACCACTGTACAATCTTGTTTTAGTCAGCGGATGCGGTTCTGCCAGACTTTATGAAGGATTACCAGGACCTAAGAGAACTGGTCATGGAGATGGACTCCCAGAGGACGTACGGGTGTCTCTCCAGGTAACAGCAGTCATAGTGACACAGAATTCTCTGTTTATTGTTCCATGTATTTTGTGCAAATTAAGCTATACCACCACTACTATACTAAAGATTTTGAAAACTAAATACATAAATAAAACAGCAATGAAAGCAGCTTCTCTTTACAAATTAATTTTCATAGAGAGAGAGAGCAATGTGATGCTTTGGCCTGTTATTTTGTTGTTTTATTCACACAGGTGCCGACTGTCCAGTGGGAAAGTTATCTGGTTGTGTGAGGAACACATCAAAGATATGAAGGTCACGGTGCTGGCCAAGGACGCTGTCGCTAAGAAAAACAAGGTCTCTAATCCCGAACGACCAGAGTACATTGCTGAATGGCTGCGTAAAGTGGATTCTGAAAAACTAATGAAGAAATTTGACTCCTCCGAAAAAGTCAAGAGAAAATTTGATCGTAAGTTGTAAATATAAGATATTCAAAAATACCATGATAAAGCAGATATTTTCCGAATGAATGACCAGCAAAAGTTATCCCTGAATTTAGCCCTCATATGGACTATTATTAACTCATGGATAATATAAATGTTAGCATTGGTGCAATGCATGAATCATTTTACCCATACATAATAGTTATGTTCTTGATTTCTTGGATTGCCAATCAAATGTTTTCAAATGTTCAGATGATAATACACAATGCTCCTTTTCAATACTCTCACATGAGACATTTCTTTCCTAAACAGTAAAAGGATTTTTTTGTTGATAAATCATGTAATATGTTCCTTTTTTTAAATAGAATCACTGGTGGACAAAGCTTTAGTAGTAGCTGATGATGTAAGACAACATGCAGGCATCTTTGGTAAAGCTATGACTGATCAACTTCTAAAAGACATATCACAAGGGTTGACTCCCGGACAGATTAAATCAAGGTCCCAGCAGGCCAGAGCTGTCCTACGACATGGATCAGCCATTAGACGTCAAGAGATTCAGAAACCGGAGGCTGTCGTAAAACGCCACGCTACCACATCAGTCACCTCTGCAGACATGGCCAAGTCACCACCCAAATCAGGGGAATCCACACCCAAACTGAAGAGACCAACAAGTCAGGCCTGCAGTGTCATGTGACATTACCATGTGACCGGACCTGTCAATCAAATGTCAAAATCATGTCTGTGATATCCTAAATACATATCATAACTGACTGTAGTTGTTTATTTGTATGCAGGAAGAGTCTTTTTTTTCATTAATCCATCCATGCTTATTAGTTCTATCTGATAACACAATTTATTTATATTAAATCATTTATTTATACTATTTATTATTTTTTCCAATTGTTTTTATACATATAGTTGTTGCTCAAACTTTGTTATTATGCATGTAACAAATATACATTTGATAAGAAAGCTAGAATTTGAATTTGTGTACATGTATTTATATTAATTTACATACCATTTTTGGTTTACCACTATTATGTTGAAATGCTTGAATGTTTGAATATGATATATTTATATTAAATTACATGCCATTTTTGGTTTACACGGAGTTGAATTGAATGAAATATTGCTTTAATGTTTGAATTAGTTTATCACTGCAACTTTTCATGTTTATCTTAAACTGGATATTTCTTGTTCTGTTTTGTTTTTTTGTTTTTTTTAAATATTTTTTATGATCATTATTTATTTTCTAGAGCAAAGTGTCCAAATGAATTTTGATATTATGCATTGTTAAGTCTTTTTGACTTTTTTCCCTGATGTCTATTTTTTGTTACAGTTTTTTTTTATAATGGTAAAAGTGATATTTTTATACAATCTTTATGCTCTTTGGAAATGGAAATGTAACAATTGAGCTAAAAATTGATCGATGCAGTTTTTGCTTGTGCCATATTCAGCAGAACTACTTGAGGAAAGAAAATTAAGTTTGGTGTTCATATTTTTCCGAGGGTTTGTCTAATAGAGAGCTTAGCTTGGAAAACTTACAGATCAAATGGTCAAAAGCATAGCTTCAGCTCTGTTGTCATTGCTTCAATTTCAGAAGGGTTTTAATTGTCCCTATTTACATCACGAAGTCATCTGATGAAAATATAGCCACCAGTAGTATATCTGCATATTAAAATTTGTATGGAGGGGTATAAAATTAAAAGTTGTCCTATCTGACTTTTTTTTGTATCATAAAGTGAGTCAATTGGAAGTGCATTTTGATTTTTAAAAAAATATTTCTCTATTTAAAAGGTGCATATTGTGTGGGTTTTTTTTTTTTTTTGATGGACTTTTTTGTTGATCTCTCCATGTCTTTTAAAAAACTTGTCTTTTGATAATAACTTCACTTTGCATGAAATGAAAAATGTTTAATTAATGAATATCAAATACTTCAAACCATAGAGCTTAATTAGATCAGTGTAAAACAGATAAAACAATGAATAGGGTGAATATATAGCTACATGTATTAAACTAAATGTTTTAATTCAAGTACACATGGCCTTGTGAAACCAGTATATCCAGATTATTCCTGTATTAACTCTTATTTTGATTCAATGTTTTAATGATATTAGATTGTTGTATTTGTTTTATGTAGACCTTTACGCAGCACAACGATTTAACCTTATTAGAAGTATTGTGTTTGTATTTCCTTTTCTACCAACTTTAATCTTCGTTTATGATACAAAGTGCTATTAATCAAAGTAGAACATTTATTGAACTTTTTATAACAAATTTGGATAAAAGCACCTGTGACAGTTAATATACTGGTATCCTGACTAACCTATAGTTGAAATTCTTTCACAGTGTAGAACAATCAAAATTAATTTATCAAGCTGTGCATACAAAATGGCAGTCTTTCAGTATAACAATAAAATTTTAATGTAGATAACATTTGTTAATTGTTTATTTCTATAGATACTGTTGAAACACTCAGCAGATATTATTTTCTTGTGACTGTTCATCTGTTATGACTTACCTTATATGGACCAAACATCTTTATGATTTCAACAAATCCCAAGATAGCTAAATGTAACACCTTATATGAATTCTACAAAGCCAAAGATAGCTAACTGGAGCACCTTAGATGATTTCGACAAATCCCAATACCTTTGATGACTTCAACAAATCCAGAGATAGCTAACTGGAACACCCTATAAGATTTCAACAAATCCCATGATAGCTAACTGGAACTTCTTAGATGATTTCTACAAATCCCAATATAGCTAACTGAAAATATGAAAGCCCTAACACCAACTGTGCAAATGAAATGCCAAAGTTAATTTTTTTTAAAAACAAGATGTGTTTGTGAAACAGTATATGCCCGATGGCAACAAAGTTCTAAAAAGCAATTTTTAGCGAATAGGTCACAGTCAAGGTCACACGATCATTGTCCTTGGTGTCATTTGAAAGCACTTAATTAGTGCATACCAAATATGAAGTCTCTATCTCTTATGGTTCAAAAGTTATGGCGAAAGTTTGAAATAGTTATTTTTAGCATATAGGTCACAGTCAAGGTCAAAAGGTCATTGACCTTGGTGTCACTTGAAAGTGCTTACATGTAATTAGTGAAGTATGCATACCAAATATGAAGTCTCTATCTCTCACGGTTCAAAAGTTATAGCGAAGGTTAAAGTTGACAACAGACAGATAAGCAGACAGACAGGACAAAAATAATATACGCCCCGAATAAATTCGGGCACCTAAGAATGGGCCAGCTTTTTTAAAAAATGGGCCATACTCCAAAGTGAAAAATATTTATACCCAAGGAAGGTTTTCTCACATGTGAAATATAGCACAATAAGGTGTTCTAGATAGCTATCTTGGGCTTTGTTGAAATCATTTACTGCCAGTGAAAGTCTGATAAACAATCACAAATTAAGGACAAACACAACTGTTAACTAGGAATGGACAGAAGAAGATCATCAGTCTGAAGTATTATACAATTTCTATGTTAAGCTTTGGTAACTGTAACGTTAAAGCGCCCCGTTATTAGCAGACCTATTTCTGTATTCATATGAAGCAACATTTTTGCAAAATGTCCACAAATATAGCCCAAACACAAACCATTCAAAAATTAATTCCAATGTTAAAGCTTTTAACAGTAAGTCTAATTCCTAGGTCAAGGTAAAAGGGTCAAAAGTAGTGACACCAAAGGTCTTGTCACAATGAATACATGTATGAAATACGAGACCCCTAGCACCAATTGTTCAAATGTTATGGTCAAGGATAACGGTGAATTTTTTTAGTGAATTTTTGCAAAAGTGGACAAAATCTAACGTCAAGTATGTTGGTTCCCAAAGAAAGGTCTTGTCACGAGGAATACACTTGGGAAATATGAAAAGTCATAGCTCAGACCAATCAAAAGTTATTGGCAATATAGAAGTGAATTTTTATCGGACAAAGGAAAGGACAAAAACTGTATATTCTTCTTCTAACCATGCCAACGACACCACTTGGTTAGATATATTTAAAGCAAAAGCTAATATCGACTTGTTTAGGTGAGCAAAATGCTTGAAAATACCATGATAAATTAAAGTCCAGGCTTTTTGATATCATAGACAGCTGCTTTTTCAATAAAAATGCAACTCGAAAATTTACTTACCTGGTCATTGGTCATTTGCAAAATTTTGTTAAAACACATTCTGATTGCACACACAAGTACTCTGAAGTTGACATCGAAAAGATGCTTGAGTTTCTGATTTACAATATCTATGTGGTTTTTGGAGACCAGGGGTCTTCCAACAATCTATTGGAAATCCGATGGGTACCAATTGCGCTCTGTTATTAGAAGACCTATTTTTGTATTCATATGAAGCTGAATTTGTGCAAAATCTTATGCGTGAAAAGAAGAAAACACTTGCTGTGGCCTTCAACTCAACATTTAGATATATCGACGACGTATTGTCAATTAAAACTGATAATTTCCATTCCTATGTCGATACGATATATCCTGGAGAGCTTGAGATAAAAGATACCACAGAGTCTGACACATCTGTTTCATACTTGGATATTTTACTTGAAAAAGACATTAACGGTAATCTAACAACCAATCTCTATGATAAACATGATGACCTTAACTTTTCAATCGTCAACTTTCCTCACTTATGCAACAATATACCTTCATCTCCTGCATACAGGTGACGTAAATATAGTTAATAATGAGGACCTTAAATCACCTATTTTAAAAGGTCCTAAATATAGGGAACCCGATCCTTCAACTGGCGTCGGAATTTCATAACTATTACGGATTCTGTTGATAATTACGCCAGACGATATCGATGGGCCAGATATGAAAAAGAAGACGTTGACACATTGTCAGAATGGATTAAATGTATTAGATCCATGTTAAAGTCGCGTATTAAAAGATTGAGGGGCAATATGAAAACCATCTATCCTTCTGTGTTGAATAATCCGGAAGTGAAACAAGAATTAATAGATTACTTAGTACATGATCAGTACGTACTGGTCCCTGACGATAAAGCAGATAACAACATTGTCTTCATTTGTAAGGCTCATTATATAAATTGTATTTTAGAAGAACTTAGATTTAATTATACAAGTGGTAATCCTACTTACATGTATACTCATACTTCCCTTTCTAAGGAAGAAATTCTTCAAAATCATGTTTCAGTTTTGAATATTTTTAATATTCCACAGAGTGTGTATATGAATTTGAACTACCCTATATATATATATTGGATTCCGAAACTTCATAAGAATCCTTACAAACAAAGATACATTCCGAGTTCCAGTAAATGTTCAACAAAGCTTCTTTCGTTACTCCTCACTAAGATATTGACAGTAGTGAAGGAAAAACTTCAAGAATACTATGCAACAATATATTCAAGAAGTGGTGTGAATCAGATATTTGAAATCACAAGATTTTACCAAAATCAACAGCTTAAAAACTTTCGACTTTTCAACTTTATACACAACCATTCCCCACGACAAATTAAAGTCCAGGCTTTTTGATATCATTGACAACTGCTTTTTCAATAAAAATAGTACTCGTAAATTTACTTACCTGGTCATTGGTCATTTGCAAAATTATTTTGTTAAAACACATTCTGATTGCACACACAAGTACTCTGAAGTTGACATCGAAAAGATGCTTGAGTTTCTGATTTACAAAATCTATGTGGTTTTTGGAGACCAGGGTCTTCCAACAATCTATTGGAATTCCCATGTGTACCAATTGCATTTTTGTATTCATATGAAGCTGAATTTGTGCAAAATCTTATGCGTGAAAAGAAGAAAACACTTGCTGTGGCCTTCAACTCAACATTTAGATATATCGACGACGTATTGTCAATTAAAAATGATAATTTCCATTCCTATGT